CTCCCCCCCTCCAAAAAAAAAAAAAAAAAAAAAAAAAAATCATGCTCTATTCTTTTAGAGAAAGAAAAGTGATTGTGATTATATAGAATTATAATGCTGGAAGAACAGAGAAGAGCAGAGATTTTCTTTGAAATGCTGTTTAGACAATTAAAAAGGGATAGTTTCAAAGAAGCAGCAAATACTATCTCAGCTTTTTCCGCCCTGTCTCACAGTACCAGGCTAGGCTTTCCTCCATGCCTTGGCTAAGAGACTCCAAGAAAAGCAACAGATTTTTTCATCCTTGCAAGACCTTAGTAAGCCAGAAAGGAAACCAGCTCTCAGGCCTAACTGGTTGAAGACAGACCAAATAAAAAAAAAAAAATTCTTCCAATTCCTGCCAACAGGATTTGAAGGCACCTTGATTTCTATAAGAAAACCTGCTTTGGAACAAGCTTTCCAAAAGAGGATGTGTCAGTCTTTACCCAGGAGAGCCAATACTCTGTCTCCCCAGACAGGAGAACGGAAAGCCTTTAAATATTAAAACAGGAAAAACCATCGGGATTAATGTGAGGATGCAAGGTCAAAATGTGATATCCTCCACTTCCTCAGGCTCCTGATCCCAGAATGGCTGGACCACGACCCCACAGCATCACCTGTGCCCGGATGCAGCTGGGGAAGCCTGGGTTCAGAGGGAAACCCTTCCCAAGGGGGGAAGCCAAGCAGTGGCTCCCACGCCAAGCCCACAGAAGCGCCTCCAGCTACTAAATTAACCCAACGACTTCAACGAACTGCATTGATCTGGCTGGAAAACAAAGCTGCAGCTCTTGGCACGTGCCCAGTTAGGAGGGCACAGCTGCATTTTTCACCTGCAAGCAGTTACAACCACGGCTGGAGATGCCCCTTGCCCTGACACGGGGCAGCTGAGGGGAGAGAGAGAGCGAAGGGCAAACACAGGTGAGAGGAGCCACCTCACTCCAGACACCTCTCAGACACAGCAGAGCCTCAGCCAACGACAGGTATGTCCAGTTTTGCAATCGAGGGCAAGGCTGTTCCTAGAACAAGCCCCATTACTCAGGCTGCTCAACCCCCATCTCCTCGGCTGCACGTGAACTGGATGCAGGATTTCATCAGGACATTAAACTCAGAAGCTGTAAAATCACTGTGCAAAAACCCAATTATACCTATTTTCGTAACAGCCAATTTAAGCTTGTATTTAGGTCCCCTCACATACCCCTACGTTACATAAAGCATTTCTTCCACTTGAAACGTAGCTTTCTAAAGGCCATTTTGCTTAATTTAATGGATGTTTTATGTGGGTCTGCAAATCTCTAGAAACACAACCAAGGAAGACACATGGCAGCAAGATACGGCGTGATCCCTTCCCGGGCATGCAGCAAGAACAGGAGAGATGAAAGGCATTTCCAAACCCACGAACCTGCTGTGACTGGAGTGCACTTGTGCTCTGAAGAGCAGCAAAACCCCACGGTCAAGTCAAAAGAGGAATTCCTGAACATCTGCACACTCTGTTAACCCATTCCAGACCAGCCAGCTCTCTGCAGGCTGCACAGCAGGATGGAATCCTTCTGGATCCTCCCCTCATTCCACAGCCACCAGCTGAACTGAGCCCACTCAGGCACGCTTCTCTTGGATTTCAAAGGGCTGCTTTCTGCACTTCAAGTAAATAAATGCAGTCATCTCTTTTTCCTTTTTTTTTTTTTTTTTAAAAAGCTGCACTAACAAAAAGCTCGTAGCGAAATCTATTAAATTGAGTCTGTCCATTATGTTTATTGTTCCTCACAATTCAGGCCTGGATGGCAACTCAGTGGAGGTTGAAAAGTGTATTTATCAAGAAAACCCATGAGAACCATGAGGATTAAAAGCTATCAGCAGGACAGAATATGTTTGTAACCCTGCAGTTTGTTCTGCACCTCACACAGGACCCCCACCA